GATCCACGATCCTCATCTAAGCCTCTGCGTGGAGTACGTTCATCATCAAACCCGCGACGTGGGGTGCGGTCATCATCAAATCCACGTCGAGGGCCTCTATCTTCATCAAACCCTCGTCTTGGTCCCCTATCCTCATCAAAGCCTCTCCTAGGGCCTCTATCTTCTTCAAAGCCCCTACGGGGACCTTTGTCTTCTTCAAAGCCCCTACGGGGACCTTTGTCTTCTTCAAAGCCACGACGAGGGGGACGATCGTCGTCAAATCCACGTCGAGCAGGACGGTCATCCTCAAAGCCACGGCGAGGTGGGCGGTCATCTTCAAAACCGCGTCGAATAGGACGATCTTCCTCAAAGCCACGTCGAGGAGGAGGGCGATCATCCTCAAAGCCACGTCGAGGAGGAGGAGGACGATCATCCTCAAAGCCACGTCGAGGAGGAGGAGGGCGATCATCCTCAAAGCCACGTCGAGGAGGAGGAGGGCGATCATCCTCAAAGCCACGTCGAGGAGGAGGAGGGCGATCATCCTCAAAGCCACGTCGAGGAGTAGGGCGATCATCCTCAAAGCCACGTCGAAGAGGAGGGCGATCATCCTCAAAGCCACGTCGAGGAGGAGGGCGGTCATCGTCAAAGGCACGCCGAGGAGGACGGTCATCATCAAAGCCACGCTTGGATGCACGATCATCTTCAGCACCACGCCATGAACTACGTTCCTCTTCTGCATCACGAGGTCCTTTATCATCACCCAGACCACGACGTGGTTTTTCCTCAAATTGATGAGAAGGTACACGTTCATCATCATCCTCATCAAATCTCTGCAGAGCCTTGTCATCTTCACCAGATGCTTGACTTTCACTGGCATCGTCTTCATTCTTCACAGTAGCTTCATCTTCACATTTAAGAGGCTTCTCAATTTCTGGGGCTCCTCTTCGCCATTCCCTATAATATATGTAATATGGATGTGTAAATATTTAAGGCACAAAGTTACTATGTTATACGATCACACTATGGTCACCTTCTGACTTCTGTTTTTCAATCAGATATCACACCACACTAATGAATTCACACCACAGAAACACTGAATACGAGTCAGAAATGTTTAAAATGAAATATAAATAAACACATTCCCCATATACAAAAAGCTATTTAGAATAAACCCAGATTTGATTTATAACAATATATCCATATCAAGAAACTGCCCATCAACAGGTGTCAGCCAATAGTGATAAACAGATAACATTGAAAACAAAAAGGAATTGATACACGTGGTCACAAACGAACGTGTGATCATGTGAAATCTATCCTAAACGATGCCTATCACAGAACTACTTGACAGGGGGTAACCCAAAATAAAGACAATGTAAAAAGGAGGAGACCCTTGAGACAAACAAGGGGATCCTAAGTAGTAGTTCTGAATACACAGAAAGGAAAATGACTGGGTAGTACAGGGTAAGAGGCATAAAATAAATAACACAATTACGCTAAGTAGTGGAGGTAGAGTGCCCCAGCAACGTACCAGTGTAGAAAGGGGGTATATGGTATATACCTGGTCTAGCTGTGCACAAAAAGGCCTGCCTGTCAATAAGGAGACATTCAAAGTAGATAAATCTAACACTAATGAAAAACGGAGTATCCAACAGGATTGAGCTGAGTAGACTTGAAACGTCAATGACCTACCGAAAAATAGAAAAAAATAGGAGTCTGCCTGGAGATGTAGGGTCATCTAGGGTGGATAAACCTAACCCCAATAAGCCCTGATCACCCCACAGGAGAAAGAGGACTACACTTAAAACGCCAATCCATATGTCCGGTCAGTAAAGATGCCAATTAAACACTAACTTGCGAGAACAACATACTGCCCAAGTGCTACCTAGTGATAACAAATTAAGGTTTGAAAAAAAAAGGTAAACCTATAACAATTATATAGCCACATGTGGCAGCTTTTTAAAACATTAATGTTTAATATTACTATCAGCAAGCGACTGTTTATGTGTAATTACCGATCAAGAGGCGGCATTTTGCGGTCACTATCTGGAGGATCAACTGTCCGTCTCCATCCTACATCAGGATCTTTTTCTCCCCAACGTGATGAATCCTATTAAAACAAAATAGTAATGCACTTGAGTAGGTCAACATTAACAACTGTTAAAAACAAACATCTGCAAGATCATTTTAAAATCCTTTTTGATTACGGAATTGAGAGCTGAAGAATTCAACTTAATTTCCTGAACCTGCATTGTTACAGAACCTCAGTCGGTGTAAGTATATGGACCAGTGGCAGCAGTCTGGAACGTACTGCTTAGACATTGTCACCCACCTTCCTAAAGGAATCATCTGTGCCTCGTCTTTCCTCCTCACGGCGGCGCTCACGCTCTTCAATTTCAAGCTCTCTCTGGCGCTTCTTACGCTCTTGCTCCTCCAGCTTTCTAATGCGTTCCTGATATTCACGTTGTTCAGCCTCCCGCTTTTCATTTTCAATTCGCTCTTGTTCCTCGCGCTCTGAGTATAGTTAAACACACGGCAAAAAGACAACTTTATATTTTGCATTTGAGGTGACTTCCTTTACAACCAACAAGAATGACTTGCTATCACACCATGACGCGTTTCAGGATCGAACACATTGTCTGAACACAAGCCAGCTTTTTAAAATAGAGGAGCTCCCAGCGGGATAACATGTATACGTTAATCATACCTCTATTCAGCTCTTCCTCTTTTATCCTCTCTGCCTCCTCCTCTTTCTCTCTGTAATAGTTAATTCGCCTCTCTTCCTTGCGTTGCCTCTTACGTGCGTCCATGCGCACTCTCCTTGCTTCAGCAAGCCTCTCTTGAAATTGACTTAATTTTTCCTGATATGGGGGAGAAAAAGAAAAGCCGCACTGAATGAAGACTGCGTTATTAGAAGTAATGCATCCTAATAAAATACCATAGGGAAGTTGCTTGCTACCAGCAGCAGGCTGGTGTAACTTGTGCTTGTTATAAGATGCTTGAATCAAACTTATGTTAATTCAGCACCGGTGATAACCCCGCCAACAGCAGCTCCAAATGCGCATGCGCAAATAGAGCTGCGCGCATTCAAACTGTACATAGGAAAGCATAACTGAATTTCGCACTGAGGATCGCGGAACCGGCCTCTAGTGGCTGTCAAAGAGAAAGTTTCTCGGAAACTGCTATGTTTACATCTGAAGGGTTAAAATTAGGGGGGAACCTTGCACCCAGACCACTTCATTTAGCTGAAGTGGTCTGGGTGCCTATAGTGGGCCTTTAAGTTCTACGAGGAAACTGCAGGTTTGTTTGACATTTGCATGGGCAAACAGTCAGCCAAATACAGCAGTCCATTGAATGCAGCTATATGGTGTCCATTGAATGCAGCTATACCGTCTCCATTGGCTTAATCTGGTACTGAAACTGAACCAGATGGCAAAAATTCACTACAGGTGTATGAGAAAACCTTAGTAAATTAGAAAGCATGTGATATACCGTATATACTCTAGTATAAGACGAGTTTTTCCAGCACATTTTTTGTGCTGAAAAACCCCCACTCGGGTCAGTGTTGCCACGGGTTACCGCGGCAGTCACACCGCAAGACTTACAGTGGGAGCTGACTGGACGAGAGAGAGAAGGGAGCTGACAGGAGCTGCAGGAAAGGTAAGTAACAGCTCTCTGCCAGCCCACCTCCTACACAGCCTATCCACTGGATCACCAGGGAATGAGAGCACCCCTCCCTGGCCAGATAACAAGCAGGGAGGGGGGGACGAAAAAAATATAAATAAAAATTTTATAATATTAAAAAAAAAAAAATTATATTTAAAAAAAATAATAAAAATTCCCACCCCCACCAAGGCTCCGCATCACACACACTGCATTCCTTATATACACACACACTGCAAATAAATATTCAATTAATATAATTTTATTGGGATCTAATTTTATTTAGAAATTTATCAGTAGCTGCTGCATTTCCCACCCTAGTCTTATACTCAAGTCAATAAGTTTTCCCAGTTTTTTGGGGTAAAATTAGGGATCTCTACTTATATTCGGGTCGACTTATACTCTAGTATATATGGGTGTATATAAAGAAAAATTGACATCGTGGTAATGGTTGCCTCTTTTGGTAGGTGCAAGTTTTCTGATGCTGTTAACATTAGCTCCTGCACCAACCCCACCAGCACATGAGATACAGCTGTGAAGTGCATTTTGATTAGTTTACAGGACGTGTACAGCTCTACCTATTGCAAACAAAGTAAGGATTGGCTGAGAGACTGCAGCTATAGTTTGCTTTCTGCAGCTTATGAGTGACACATATTTATACTCCATGCACAAAGTGTGGGCAAATCACAGTATAGTGCACCTTTAATGCCAATACATCACTGAAAGGGACTCCTAGTCAACACAAACAGTGCTACTGACCTCATACACAGATTGACGTGCAGCCTTCAAGGTGGCAACAAACAGATCTCGATCTTCCACCATCCTAGACAGACGGTTCTTGTGCTCCACTGCCTTCTCCCGTTCCAACAGTAAGGTGCTGATCTGTTTATGAAATAATTTGGGTGAGCAAACAGTTACAAGGAAAGCCTGCTCTTTCATCATACTTTGGGTATGTTTGCAAGTGAAAGGCCAACAATGTAACACTTTCCTAACAATATAGCCACCTTACAGGAGTGACAGGCCACGACTCACTTTAGGAGTGAATGTATTTCATTCTCTTGGTTTAAAGCCGAACTGTCCTTAAACAGCCATTTTTGCTAGGTAACCAGGAACCCAAGCTTTTCTGGTATTAATTTGCAAGATGAGAAAACTATGGGAACTTCCAGATATCCTTGCACAAAAGGAAATGGTACAGGCATCCACTCTCATTACCCCCAACGGCTGATGAGAAAAGCCAGGCATCAGACAACTTATAAACACATAACCAGTAACAGGAAGCTCAGGTGGATTGGCTGATTAAAACACAAACATTACAAAGTATCAGGTTTCACGCTTTAGAAGACTCACTTCAGAGCAAACATTGTCCCCAACAGACAAAAACAGGCCAACGATTGGTCAGCCATACTTTTCATTATGGGGATTGCTATAGCACTGGAATGGAACCAATCATCAACAGGAATGACAAGTGATTACGTACAGTGCATGAGGGATACTAAAACAATATATAAAGGCATTACCCGCTCCTCCTCTTGCTGCTCCCAGAGCTCCATGTCATTGATTCGCTGCTCCTCATAGGCCTTCTTGATAAGTGGAATTTCTTCCAAACGTTTCGCTCTTTCAAAGTAATCAATCTACAATTGGAGAAATTGGGATTATTAAACAGCCAGGCTGGGCAGATACCAGTCACCCACAAGACGTATGATGCCAATGGCAGAGATACAAATTGCAGCCTTAAACTTGGCACACATTGCATTTTACCTGCAATGGTTTAGGCACGGTGTAATTTCACTTTGACAATTGCCAGAAGTCATTTTAGCTCAGACAGGAATTCGATTCAATGGAGACAATGATATCTGTGTTTATGTTTAAAACTTTCCTAAGTGGAAGCATTTCAAAAAACATTCACCTTTTTCTCCTGATTCTTGAGTCGCTCTTGTAGCTCCTTCTTCTCTTTCTCAAGTTGCTCTACCTGTTTGGCCATGATAAAATCTGGGTCCAATTCCTCCAGATTCTGTGAAACATACAATGATTATAAATATACAAAATAAAAAGTAAAAATCCCATTAATATGAACAAAGTCTGGCCATATAGAAATATGCAGGTCCCAATGTACAAAGCTCAAAGAAATAATGAACCCTTCCATAAGTCAAGGAAATTAAATCCCAGCGATAACGAGAACACAATACACAAAGTATAGAAAGGTAACATTACCAAGTATCTACAACTTCGGTATTTTGTCTTAAAACATTTTCACGGACGAAACGTTCCATACCACAAAAACAATCCAATGATTGGTTAGCCATACTATTAATTATGGGAATTCATATAGCACTGACAAACAGGAAATCACAAACAATGCATGAGAACAAGCCAAACAAGGCGCAGAGCATTAGCAGTGCTGCTCAAATCTGGAAGTCAAGTAGGTTTTATATCTAGACGCTGGATATGTACCCACCTCAATGTCAATATCTTTGAAAGCCTTGGCTCCAAGCTCAGTCTTTTTAATTTGCTCTAGGCGCTCCCGCACAGTCTTCTTCTTGATCTGCTCGTGCTCCTGCATAATGCGCTCCTTCTCGCGCTCTTTGGCTTCCTGGCGCAGTCTCTCTTCCTCGGCTTTCCGCACCTTCTGCAGTTCAGCTTCACGCTGCTCCAGCTCCTCCTTCTCTCTCTGGATATTTAAATTCTCCAAGCGTTCTTTCCTTTCTTCTATGGTTTGCCGTCTAGCCAGGATGCGCTGGTGTTCTTTTCTGGAGTTCTTCAGGAACGCGGTTACAGCCACCTGGTGCTGTTCCTCCTTTTCTTGCTGCAATAGAAATACATAGTCAGGAAATACGAAACATGTTAATTGTGCAGCGTTTATGTCGAACAGCACTCCCTATTTATAGAAGAACATCATTTATAAAAAGTATCTGAACTGTCAAAAACTCTGAAAATGTTATATTGGTATGGGCAAGAAATGATGGTTGCTTATAAAAACAAAAAACACAATACTTAGTAATTTCTTTGTACAATAGACATTGATATCGTTAACACTCCGAAATTAAAATAGATATTCTGCTTAAACATTTGGAGACTTCATTTGTCATCTTATGATGCTATGGTTGAATAAGGTGAAGTTATGTCTGACTACTCACACCTTTTAAACACTGTATGAAGGAGACTGGCAGCAGTAACTATTAATGTCCAGTTACACTGCTAATTAGCCTTCAGTTTATATAGCACACCAGAAATAACAATGCTCTATGTGACAATGAGAGCACTGTCAATGTAATGTGCAGGACTTTTATGGCTGACCTTTCACGCAAACTGGCCACCAGATTCAGTAAGCCAAAAGGAAATAAACCAACTTGGCATTAACATGGACATTAAACAAAACCACTTATCTGCAGATTAGTGATGGGTAGCATCAGTTATAGCTCTAACCTATAAAAAGCCATTGATATCACTTAAGGAACACTCCAACACAAACCGATTTTCAGTTTAAACGTTTGAAGTGCTCCTTTAACCCCCCAACTGTGCCAGACACCTACACTCACATATCGTCCACTTATTTTAATGGATGTGTAAAGGAGTGTGGCAAGGTAACTAGCATCAGTTGTAGTGCTAATTAGCCTTCAGTCCATGCAGTTAGTTACTATCTTTGCTCCATACAATGAGAAAGTGAATTTAACGAGCAATTCCTAACACCCCATGGACTGCATCAATGAACGGAGCAAACAAAATGTGTAACAAGAAGAATATATGTTTCCCACTGAAAGCCAACATACTAACCAGAATATGAGCAGGTTTAATTGCAGTCACAGCCTTGGACAGTACAGAGGACATCGCAGTCAGCTGGTTCCGGATTTGCTCAGACGGCATGTTTTGTAGGAATGGTCCAAGTGGAGCATCCTCTCGTGTAGAGTAATTAAGGTCCGAACCAAAGCTGAGTGTACGGGATGAATGATCTATCCGTACCTGGCAAGATGAAGCAAAGACAGTTGATTGATATAGATAATACAAATAACACAATGTACACGAGCTTATTCCAGACATCTCTAACCATCAAAGTAGTAACAGTGAACATCCCGCTAGAACAGATGTTAAAGTCTGCACTAAACACAAAGAAGTTGTGTTCAGCAATTAGATACCAAAGTATATGCTGCTATATAAGTGTTTAACCCCTTAAGGACCAAACTTCTGGAATAAAAAGGAATCATAACACACGTCATGTGTCCTTAAGGGGTTAAGGAACACTAGTGTTGGGACTACAAAGCTGTACTTCTAACATTATAGTGTCCTTCTGTCCCCCTCTCTCTCTCCCCCCCCTCATGTGGCAAATAAAGGGTCAAATAATCCTCTAAACATTTACTTTATTTCAATGCAGAAAACCATCTGCTCCGTTTCCACCTCCTCTGTCAGAGAAGGGGGAACCTAGTGAGTGTGCATTAGGTAGACAGCCACTAGAGGCAGTCTTAAGCCTGCAATATTCAGAGAAACAGCAATGTTTTAGATTGAAGGGTTAAGCGGACAGTGCACCCAGACCACTTCAATGAGTGGAAGTAGTCTGGGTTCAAGTAGTGTCCCTTTAACTGCAATAGAAGCAAGTACATAGTCAGGAAATATGAAACATGTTAAATGTACAGCATTTATGTCAAACAGCACTCCCTATTTATAGAAGAACATCATTTATAAAAAGTATCCGAACTGTCAAAAACTCTGAAAATGTTATATTGGTATGGGCAAGAAATGATGGTTGCTTATAAAAACAAAAACACAATACTTAGTAATTTCTTTGTACAATAGACATTGATATCGTTAACACTCCGAAATTAAAATAGATATTCTGCTTAAACATTTGGAGACTTCATTTGTCATCTTATGATGCTATGGTTGAATAAGGTGAAGTTATGTCTGACTACTCACACCTTTTAAACACTGTATGAAGGAGACTGGCAGCAGTAACTATTAATGTCCAGTTACACTGCTAATTAGCCTTCAGTTTATATAGCACACCAGAAATAACAATGCTCTATGTGACAATGAGAGCACTGGCAATGTAATGTGCAGGACGTTTATTGCCGGTCTATCACGCAAACTGGCCACCAGATTCAGTAAGCCAAAAGGCAATAAACCACCTGGCATTAACATGGACATTATATGAAACCACTTACCTGTAGATCACAGTGACGAGCAGCATCAACTATAGCTCGCTCCAGTAAAAAGCCATCAACAAAAGGAATAAGTGAGGTTAGCCGAGAGAACTCTATGCTCTGGTATATCTGCGCCACCTTAGAACAATTACAAATACAATGGCAATTAATGAAAAGCCGACAGGAGTAGAAATGAAAACCTATACACAGAACTAAACAAGTAGCGGGTTTCTCAGCATCCTTTATAAAAGCTTAATACAGAGCAAACCTTGTCCCCAACAGACAAAAACAGGCCAACCATAGGTCAGACATACTTTTCATTATGGGAATTCATATAGCACCGGAATGGAACCAATAATCAACAGCAATGACAAGTGATTACGTACGGTGCATTAGACCAAACAATACAAAGGAAGTAAAATCACACATAATGCCAAGTTTGGATGCCTGGGCATGTGTTCCACCGGCTGCATAAATACTGGGCACCAACCTGTGCAACGAAACGGGAAAGGATGCAGATAGGACTTGCAGCAATTGCCCCCATGTGCTGCCGGAACAATTCCGCTCATTACCTGGGGATCTTTTGGGCAGACTAACATTACTATGCTCACACTAAGGCTAGGGGTACGGCCAGCGGCATACAGAGGTGGAGATTTAAACACTTTCACATCTAGTAAATAAGCATCTTTAAACATCTAGTAAATAAGCATCTTTAAACATCTAGTAAATAAGCATCTTTAAACATCTAGTAAATAAGCATCTTTAAACATCTAGTAAATAAAAGCAGAGAACACAAAATTCATAGGAATTGACTGTTTTTAAAAGAGGTTTAACAGGGATGAATAGAATAAAAGTCTGAATTTATAGGGACATTTTATTACACAGATCATTATCTAGCAATATGATTTTCTTTTGTAATTTATGATAAACTCAGATATTTTTACAAACTAACAAGTGCAAAAAGAAAATACGGTTATGATCCACCATTTCCCATGAAATACTTGATACACTGCTCTTTACAGGATATGCGTGAAAGCAGACATGCCACATGACCGGTACCTGCTGCAAAAGACGTAATATGGTATTGTTCTGAAGCTGAGTGATGTATTGCTGCAGTTCCGTTTCCTTCTCTCCTTGATCTTTTATCCAGTCCAAAATCTAATAAAGACAGAGCGTGAATTAGAGCACAGCATCAAGACATTCTAAGTGAATCAGTAAAAATCTGTACAATCTTAAAAATTCCAACCTCACGTGAAATAAATTGGCCAAAGGCAGGCAAGACTTGTAATTATTTCCTTACAATTTATATCCCAGCTGGAAACTGGTCTACCTACCTTGGTCACACGACCACAAAGCTTCAGAGGATGAAAATCTACCTCCAGCAAATTATACAGATCCTTCACTTCAATAACCACATGCTGGAGAACATTAAATCTGACCTGCAACAAAGGGAGAAAGGCATATTAGCTAGAGCCCCTCTGTTTGTGGTCTGTGACTTTATAGACATTTATAAGAGCCAATTCCAGTATTGAGCTGATTACCATATCACTGATTAAGCCAGCGCGGGTAGGTGGGGATTGCAATCCCAGTAACGTAGCTAGACGCCTCTGTTTCTCCATAATAATACCGTCCATATCAAGGAGTCTGGCAATGTCTGTACGCTCAGGAGTTATCGGAATAGACAGAGTTGCCAGGAGGACTCTTGTTGACATCCTGCAATGAAGACTAGTTAGTTAACCAAAAATCTATTTCCTAAAATGGAAGATGTCTAAAAGAGACTCACAGCACTGGCCACAATCAACACCAGACTGATAATATTGCTTCATAATTTAAATTGCACATAAAAAGCCATTTCAATCTCACAGCAACATAGAGAAAGACAATGATAGGCGCTGAACAGGGGTTTAAAATAAATAAATTACTTGATCCCCCACAGGCCCTGAAAATAAGTCAATTTACTCCTCATCCCATATTTAACCCTTACAAGATAAAATAAACCTCATATTAAAAATAGGAATGGCATTAAAGAGTGATGAACAGGCGATAGACCAAAAAAAAAAAATAAAGTGACTTGACAAACAACTGCTCACAATGAACAGAACCTGGGAGCAAAGCGAATATCCCAAGCACGGCCACGTTATCGGCATTAATGAGTGAAGAGAAATAAACCCCTGGTTAGTGTGCCATAGACATTCCAGGCTTGTAGTGTAGGTTTAACAGTTTGCTGTATATTTCAATACAGTGACTTGTAGTAGTAATTGTAAAAGTCAGGATAAGGAAGGTGTGGGAGGGGGGGGGGGTTAGGGGAGTCTGCTACAGAACTTGAAAACTTTGTCAAACCTTAGCATCTGTTCAGAAAGGGAGGGAGTAGATAAAGAATACTGCGAGCAAATTAACCAAAACCAACTCACTACATACAACTTCACCACTGAAGTGAAAGTTGCCATCTTGGAAAACACTGCTTGCGCACCATGTGTTTAACCTCTTAAGGACACATGACATATGTGACATGTCATGATTCCCTTTTATTCCAGAAGTTTGGTCCTTAAGGGGTTAAAAGTGAAGTTAGTGCACGGCTATACAGCTTTAGCTGTTAGATTACATTGCCCAGATTCTAACAGAAAGCGGCTTTGTCTGCAAAATGGTCTCTAATATGCAATTTGTTCGGAATCAGGAGAAGTTGTATAAATAACAACCCCAACCTTTACACATTGGACTGAAATAAAACATCAGCAGATTCACTTCATTTTCTGGCAATTTCCATAGCACGATGTGAACATATTTACACTACAAACACAAAAATCATGTCTGTAAGGTGAATGCACTTTATTTCTAGCCACTACCCACCTCTGCATTTCATCTTGCGTGAGATTTTTCCGCATTTCTCTGGACAGGTGAAACAGACGGTGCAAGGTGGATGCGTGGAACAAAGCATTGCCAGACTTCCAGAACACAGTAGACACCTTATTGTAATAATTAGCCATCAGTTGGGGTTTTGGTGGCTTTTTAGACAAAGCAAATAGCCCATGAATATCTTCAACAGCTTTAAAGGCTTCCTATAGTTAACAAGGAGAGAAATAAAGAAGTTTTTGAATGACCTTTTCGTGATGCACAAAATCCACACAAGTGCAAAATGTTGGATCCAC